CTGCCAACATAGATCCTGGTCAGGCTGACGCTACTGCACTGGTCTATTCTTCTGTCTTCCTCATACATTCTCTCAAGAGGAAGCCCCTGTTCTTGGATATGTCTCAGTGCCCCAAAGGTGTTAAAGGAACAAGTGGTGCCTCAGAATGAGAAAGTGGCAACCTTGCTTGACATTCGTTTGATAGATCTGTTCTTATAGTTTAAGTGAGAAGCCATTGGAAGACAACTTGAGAAAACAGCTTTAACCTTTTCTTTAACACCTAGTTCTTGGCATTTGTAGAAGGATGGCAAAGTTAAGTTACAAGGACCTACGTACATACAGCCCACATATCAAATTAACTTTGTTAATGTACAAGTGTTGTGACTTTTAAATACACCTGGAAACAATATTAGTTTATTTTCCATGCTTTTCAGTTTATTGAGCTGCTTTATATTGAAACACAAAATAAATGTCTCTAGAGCAATGCAACAATTGAGTTTGCACCCAAAGATTGCTTAAGCAGATGGCGAGCTTGAGCAACCAGTCTTTTCTTTCCCCTAAGAACTATGTCTTACACAGTTAGTGAGACATGAAAATCGAGATTCTTGCTCATATGGCGAGTCTAGAGGTGGGGAGGAACCTCTTTTGTGCATATGCATTACTTTCCATGAGCGCAGAAAGCAATAGTAGAGAGAAAGACTGAGGTGCTTGGAGATGGGTGATTCTATAATGAAGGTAAGGCCTGAATAGGGCAAAATAGAAGTAACCATCCTGACCAAGAAAAGGAGAAGGACGAGACTAGGAAGTCAGCAAGGAAGAAATAATGCAGGACTCTCAAAGAGCCTCGTAAATCAAGTCTAGGTTTACCTGAGGAACTTCCAGGGCTACTCCTAACTAGGTTTGCCATCAGGATTCCCTTGATTGGAAGAAGTGTTCTAGGACACACCAAAGCTTATGAGAAATAAAAATTTGTTAGCCTTAAAGGTACTACAGGACTGGTGGTTTTCTTGTCCTGCAACAAACTAACATAGCTACTGGCTAGATAACTTTGGCTGGGGCAGTTCTGTGTTGGCAGTTCACACACTTTACCCTTTTACTGAAATAGATTATTTTCCCAGTCTGGAAATACAATGTGTTTTGGCTTCATTGCTTCAGCAGTATTGCTTTGGGTATCAGGTTCTACATCTGAAGCTACTATATACCAAGAATAGGCTGAAATCCTGTTGTTTTGTTATGCATGCATAATGTTGGGATTCATGGGTGTCAGCTGGCTCGGTGTGTGCTTAAGGATTCCAGCAGGGACTCATTAACTGTCAAACAGGAATGGCTGGATGGTATCTTCTGCAACAGGATTTCAACCATAGAGTTGCATTCCTTGCCCTTATATTAGGATGGGCAACTACAGTCCTCTAGATCAATGGTTCTCAAACTGGGGTCCCCAGATTTTCTTGGACTGCAATTCCCAGAAGCCTTCACCACTTGCTGTGCTGGCTAGAATTTCTGAGAGTTGCAGTTTAAGAACATCTGAGGACCCCAGTTTGAGAACCACTGCTCTAGATATTATTGTAGTGCAACTCCCATCATTCCTTCCCACTGGTGACACTGACTAGGGCTGATAGGATTTGCAGTCCAGCAACATCTGGAGGGCCTCAAGTTGGCCACTCCTACCTGTAATTAAATTATTTATCTAAAACAATTTGAACATGCATTGAAATAACTATAATCATAGAACATCTGTCTTTCAGATACAGTTTTTTAAACCATTACAATCCACTCATTTTTCATCAGACTTTTCTGAAACTGATCCAGGCTATATCCCTGTGATGCCAAATTTCCTACTGTTAGGACAAGTTGTTTTGATCTTACAATGAAGAGAATTTTCAGACTTCATAATACCAGTGCTAAAAATCAATTTAACAGCATATATGACTTCATTATAGACAGATTTCTTTAAGTGAATCAAGTTCTCACTGTTACATGACTATGTGTTTCTGTGATTAATAAACATTTCACAATTTAGGATAGGTGTTACCTCCTCTCTTCAGTATTTTGGCAACCAAACTCTTAAGTAATTGAAGGCTAATTTGTTGAAAAGTCGTACAGTTCTTACAAACACAGACATGCACACAGACTTATCTTTCCCTACTTTAATTATTATTGAATAAGGATATGGTTGTACCTATAAATCATTTCTAAAAGGACAAAGGCAAGCCAAAGCAAATGGCTATGCCATCTGTTTGTGATAAAGTACATAAGAATGCATCCATCCACTGTTAGAAGCTGACCCTGGATATTACTGAGGAGATCAAACTTCCATCTACCAATTCCATTGAGTGTGAGATCAGTTCAGCACATTACAAAGCATCTTGCAGGTTACGCTTTTTGAGTTCAGATGTCTTAAACCCATACAAAAATAATACATTGAATCAGGCAGAATAATAGATCATTAACAATACTATGAGAAGCAGGTCATTGTATAAATGGGGATTTGGTGAGTCAACTCCTCCAAAAGTTCGATTTGGTCAAATGGACTTACTCTAACAGTGACTTGCTTTAGCATAGTAAGCTGCAGTTAGAGTAGGCCCATTTGAGTCAATGGAACTCATGGAGAAATTGATTTATTAAATTCCCATTGTGTGATTTACTACACTAAGCAGCAGGATTTTTGCCTGTGCATATCTATTTCCCCATCCAATGGCGAAAGGTGCATCTTACTTCTGTCTGACTCAACGCATGAACTTCCCTTCTCTCTAAGTCTCTTTGTGTACATGAATAGTCTCCCACTCCAATCTCTTTAAGTCTCTTGTGGTTAAAAAATCATCCCACCTTTCTTCTAATGAATTCAAGGTGGCAATGTACATAGGTCTCCACCCACAAACTATTTTCTGCAACAATAATGTCACAGAACTTGGGTGAAGAGAGGTTGCTTGGCCAGTGGTCACCCAGTGAGGTTTTGTGACTCATTGAGAACAAGAGTTTGGGTCTCCCAGTCTGACACCTTAAATAATTGTACCATACCACACAGCTCTCTTTCTTAGAATTCCAAATACATTCTAGAACCCTTCGTCCAATTGAAGAACTCTTTAGTTGCTCATTAGTGACTTGCTGACAGTGCAACATCCAGACAGTCATATTTTTGCCCACACACTTATCATAATTATATAGATGTCTTTCTCTTGTATTCATTTGTCGATTCTGTAACACTTTACTTAAGAAACTGATGGTGGCCCCTATCCTTGAAAATATTTGAGAAAGACAGCATTGGTACAGACAGTGGGGGTCTGTGGAATGTTATCAAACAGTGACAGGTTATAGATAAGATTGGATTTCAGCATAAGGAGTTAAACTGTACAGTTCCTTTTGTTGTCTGGACAAGACTGTAGCACATCTGATGTGGGAGAGAGGGACATGCCATCTGTGTGCTACCTAGCTTCATGGACCCTCAGCCCAGCTGGATTCAGTTCACCCCATTCTGTGATGGGATTTGTGTATTTCCTTTTGTTACATTGTATCATGCTACTTCTCTGTGAAGTGCCCATATGATGCACATCAGTGACTTGGTATATAGCAATCTATTGTTATTTCAACAGATCAAAGTTTACCAAACTAGTAGAATCAGTTATTGGGTTAGATATCTAGCTGTGGAGACAGAAGTCGGGAGTTTGATTCTCTAATGTGCTTCCTAGTAGAATAGTCAGCCAATGTAGCCTTAGCAGAACTGCACAGTCCAAGAATACCCCAGAAGAGGGGAATGGTAAACTCTTCTGAGTACTCTGTACCTAGAAGACCTTGAAAATGGTTGTCATAAGTTGAAATTGATGTTACGGCATGCTGCTGCTGTTGTTGTCCCTCCTCCTACTCCTGTTGTTGTTATTGGAATCAGTTATGAACTGTGTTTGTTTCCTGTTTGTTTCCTCTGGTTTTAGAAGAAATGTCTAACTTTTGTTTTCAACAACATGATTAGTTTGTTGGTCAAAAATGTGAGTGGTTTCTTAAAAGCAAAAGGAGCTGACATAATACATTAGCATGTAGGCAGAAAAGCTGTTTCTGTAAAGAGTTTCCTCCTTATTTTTGTTTTCTCTTTTTACACAACCACTTACTGTAATTCATTAAGAAAAAGAAATTTGAGAGAGTGTAATTAAGTGGGAAAAAACATATTATTGATCTAGGTTTCCATTATTCCATTATGTTGCCATCACAGGTGACAAATGTCTCTTTGATGCAATTGTTGTGATTAAAATCTCACAGAAATACACAATCCCTTTTTCTGTCTTACTTTAACAGTCTCCAAAAAGTTTAGGATACAAAACAAAGCAAGAGCTAATGGCCATTAACAGAAACATGTGCCACTCAATTCCAACTGTGCAATCCTATGGATGTCTACTCAGATTTAAGTGACCCTAAATTCAATAGGCCTTACTCTCAGGTAGATGGGCTTATGTTTTTGCTCTAAATGCCTTTAAAAATAATTATTAGAGCTGAGAATGGTACTCTCTTGAAAAGAAGAAACCTAGCATGTATATTGCGTATTATAAGGCAGATAAGAGCACTCTCATGGAACATGTCACATTTACTGTTTCAAATATTTATTATGTTCTGCTTTTCAAGAAGAGTTTAGAAGGGGGTGGGTATAACAATGGGGTTGGGACTGGGAAAATTAAAACTATTCTAATACTGATTCAGGAAGAGTATAATAAAACGGTTGGAAACTGTAACAGCCTTTTGGAAACATTGATCTAAAGGCCAATGAAAACGGCATGGTACTGTAGCTGAAACTAGGATAATTTATCTTTAAGCAACCCGATTTATCTTTAAAACTTCACAACATCATACTTGGTAGTACATGTGTTGATATTCCTTAGAGATATCTTCAAAGCCTAATGGAAACTCAGGGTTGTTTCACTTGTTGCAGGTGTGATAGGTATATCATTGGAAGCAGTTTTTAACAGATCTGAGCCCTACAGCCATTTTGTGTGTGTGTGTAAAAATACCTTATGGCAACTGCCTACATTCCTTTTTTGAGCACTGCAGTGGACAAATGGAAAGAGAGGATCTGCTGACAGAGATGGCAATATATTTTCTCCTCTGGTAAGGAACAGCTGAAAGCTAAGGATCTCAGATAAAACTACAGAACAGAAGGGAGGTTGTATAAACACTATCTTCATAATGTAGGGAAGTCTTGCTGATGAATATTCTGAAGAAAAAACTGGAAAAGCAGAATTTGACTTTGTCATTATATTTCACCAAATATCGTACCAAAATACACAAGGGGGTTGGTTCCCTATGCAGCCAAAAAGAATGTAATATGTGTAGACCAAATATCATGAATATACTTGTACAGTACCCATGAAAACCCAAGAGGTACTGTCATTTCTATCATCCTTGTCTTTAAAACTGCTGTTTCATAACTAGTCATAAAATTTACACACAAAGTAATTATATTGAGATTACATTTTAACTACACAGTCATTTTCTACTATAAAGTAAGCAGCCTTAAATTCAGCAGCTGGCATTTTGTTCATGCCAAATACAGGATTTTAACAGATTATGACTTTTTTTGTTTGCTTTATTTAGAGCAAGAGATGCTTATTACACGATGGCCTACAAGCTGCAAATGTCTGTATTCTAAAAGCACTTTTGTGGAATGATGCGTTCATATTAGAACAACAACAAAACAGGCTTTTGGTTGTTGTCGGTTTTTCGGGCTCTTTGGCCGTGTTCTGAAGGCTGTTCTTCCTAATGCAAAACATTAGGAAGAACAACCTTCAGAACACAGCCAAAGAGCTCGAAAAACCCACAACAACCATTAGATCCTGGCCGTGAAAGCCTTCACGAATATAAAAAAGGCTTTGATGTTTTATTCCTTGCAGGCTGATAGTAATACAGAATTGCATGCCATCGAGTTAATTTATAAAACCCTGCTCAGGGATTTCCAGGTATAAAGTACTCAGGAATGCTTTACCATTCCCTTCTTCTGGGTGTGGTCTTGGATTGACTCTTTTCCTACAAGGCCCAGTGGTGAACTGAAGTTCCAGTCTCTGGTGCTGCAACACAATGAGCGATCCAGCTGGCTTAATAATATGCCATCAATTTGATTCTCGGTTATGGCAACACTTTCCTGGATTTTCCAGGTATGGCACATTCAGAAGTGGTTTATCAGTCCCTTCTTCTGGAGGTGCTCCAGGACTATGTAGCTTACCCAAGACTTCACATATTGGCTTTTCTCCACAGCCAGGAACCCAAGTTGCTGAGCAATATAGCCAGCTATTCAGGCTGATGCTGAGAACTTTCTTACTTAACATAAATAATGGTTCAATAAATATGAACCTGAGATTGCCACTGACAATAGACCTCTTCAGATGAGATATACCTAGTTAGGTTTAACACAAAAGAGGGGAGCTCTTAGCCTGACCCATTTATCATCACTTTCCACAAACAGAAAAAGAGGTCTGAAGAGCAGAGGAGCCTGTTTAGCTAAAGCACCTGGATTTTCCATGGGAGGAGAGTGATGAGGAAGAAGGCTGGGACAGGTGCTCCCTTCTTTCAATGATGAATCCAGTCAGGTAAGTCACATCTGAATAGGTCTAATATTAGTCTTTAATAGTCTTTAAAATCCAACTAAAAACATGGTTCTTCACTCAGGTCTTCCCTCCAGTCAACTCCTGATTTTCTTCTTCTTATTTTTTCTATTTATATTATAGTTGTTTTGTATTATTTCTGCACTTGCTGTGTTTATTGTTTAATTTTTATGTTGGAAGCCGCCTAGAGTGGTCCATTGGCCC